CCATTCAATATCAAAAGTATGTCGAGACAATGAAACTAATGCTGAGAGCTTTTAGTACACAAATAGCTCTTCAGTACAAAGAGCCCTTCAGTACACTCTTCCCTGCAATTTTTTTTCTACAATAATTCAGTTCTCACTTTGTTTAGCTCTGATAGCTCCATAAGCCTGGTTCTTGAAAATTTATCCTCATCTCATAGCACGACTGTTAGACAGACGCTGCAAGGACAGCAATGTCTGTCCCACTGAAGTTCTACAGTGTGTTTTTTTTTCCTTATACTGATTCATACCTAGATCAAATTCATATTATCATCTTAGGTTCCTTTTGTGAAGACTCACTGCAACTTCATTCAAAACCTCAAACACTGTCTACATAAGCCAGATCCTGGAAAATACAGAAGAAAAAAAAAACTTTACTCCATCTTGTATATAAAACATCTATTGCTGATACATGTATAATTTTATTTGATTTGCAATACTTCACTTTTTTCTTTCTTGCCAAAACCAACAGTAGCTGTTGCTAATGCTGTTTGCCAGCATCTCCATCTGCATCTTTGGTTCCTTGTTGCCTTCTTGCTGTTAGCATTTAATCATAATCACAGAACGGCCTGGGTTGAAAAGGACCACAGTGCTCATCCAGTTCCAACCCCCTGCTATATGCAGGTCACCAACCAGCAGCCCAGGCTACCCAGTGCCACATCCAGCCTGGCCTTGAATGCCTCCAGGGATGGGGCATCCACAGCCTCCTTGGGCAACCTGTGCCAGTGCCTCACCACCCTCTGGGTGAAAAACTTCCTCCCTTTACAGAAGTCTGATTGCATCTCTGAATTCTCGTGGGAATTTTTCCCCTTTGGTGGTTAAAATGTATAGTAGCATGAAGTTATTTGTACTGTGAATCACATTTTCCTGTAGCTCAAGGCCTTGGCCTGGTCCCCTCTCAGATGTCCTACACAGTGCTCTGTCAGTGGTACGGAACACCTCTCTCTCATCTACGAGGTCCCAGGCTCACCCTGCATGTGCCAACATTTCAGTACTGTTAGTAACACCAGGTTCCATTTCAGGGTGTTTAACTAAATGAACCTCAAAATTTTACCATGTAGAAACTGGACCCTTCATTATCTTACCTTTCCTTAATCCTTTCTTTTGGAATGATTTCCATAAAGCACCCAGGAAAACAGTCAATTTTGTCTCCAAGTCAGCACTGCATTTGTTTCAAGTTTTTGTCCGAGCTGTTTTCTGCGACTGTTTACTTAAGTGATTATGTGTTTAGGTGCACACAGGTATATTTTTAAAGCTTTCAGTCCAATTTACACAAATGCTATATTTAACGCATTTTTCTCTGGAGCTTCATGTCCCAGTTGTCCTATTAGTATTGTGACACGTCTGCTCATATGAGGCACATCCACTGCACATCTCAATAAAAGTAAACATCCTGTGTTTCTCAGCCTTCTCTAAAGCCCAACAGATGGCTGCTACTTTTACAAACTGTGCTGAATAGAATGGCTCACGTTTCCCTTGCAAGAGTCTTATTTCTGGAATCCAAACCCAATATAATTCTTGCAGTTTGGAACACGGATCTAGGCACAGATCTGTGGAGCCCGCATCAGTCCCACATGCTGACTCTTTGCAGCTCAGATCCGCTTGCTTTTCAGAATGGATGTACAGGGGAACATACTTGGTATTTCTGAACCATCCAAAGCTGCAGGATGACTATAATGGCTTCCACATGTATGTCCTTGATCATCAAACCTAAAGGTCCTTTGTGCTATACATCTGTCAGAACCTTTAATGTTCTCTTTTTTTTTTTTTTTTCCCCAGAGAAAAGTGTTTTTTGGAGATATAGGATATTCTTAGAATGACTGGATTTCACCTTAATGCTCGGAGCCAGTCCCTGTTCAGGATACTGTCAGAATCTGTGGGAAATATTGTACATTTTCACTCCCTTACCTAACGCTCAGCAGACAGATGCCACAGGCGTACGGCTTAGCCTGATTTTGCAGCAGCAGTGCTACACTGATGTTATCTGTTCTTACCCCCATCCAGGAATCAAGGGTGCTCCGGTGCCTGGGTGAATTAGCAGCAATGCCAGCTTGAGACTTTACTCTGCATGCATGAAGGTGATGAGTTCAGGAGCTCATTCCTGTCTCATTTTTTTCCTCAAAAAATCATCTCTGGAGCTACTTCGGCTGCAGATCAGGGCAAGCAGTTGCTGTATAAGTTTTACAGCAGTCACAGGGCAGTTTAGGAATGGTCTTCATCTTTGCCTGCTGAAAATTTTTCTCCACTGAATGGCAGGCTTGCAGTCAGCTACTTGTTCCCAATATCCAGTGACTGAATTAAGGATCTAATGAAAAAAAAAAAAAAAAAAGCTTCAGGAAGACCTTACAAACTAATTATTTTTTTTGTGTTCTTTTGGACCTTACGAACTAATTATTTTTTTGCATGGAAGATTTTAAGTGAGCTACACAGCTGTTATGTAGTGTCCAGAGGCCCTAAAATTATGCCATTTGTTTAGGCATGTTTATGTCAGGCTTAACTCTGGAGAATTAAGGAAGTCCTTATACTTCTCCTCCAAATATACTGTCTACCAAAATAGTTGAGTGCAAGCTAACGTACTAGCTACCCTTGTAGACTTACATCACCAAGACCCTGTCTGATTCATGGCATTTGCAGGATATTTTTTCATCATACCAACACAGAAACAGAACAGGAGACTGGCCACAACCCAAAACCCATCAAGTCTTCTTTATTTCCTAAATCAGTTATTTGCACTTCCAATTTCCTTTACCATTCATGTGGTATTTTTTTTTTGGTGGGTTTCTTTTTAAACAGACTATTTTCATTGTGTTTAAAATGTTTTGGGGTTTTTTTTTGTGTGTGTGTACCATATTATTTGCATTGTATCACTTCATGCTTAGCCAGCTTGACCTTCAACTCAACACTGGATCACTTCTGAGTGACCCTGGAGAACTGAGAAACCAGAGATTTGAAAGGTTTCTCACCAGAGGTCTGGTCATGGTGATGGCATTCTGCTTTAACTCCCAGTAATGGTAACATCCTCTTGGAGCAGTTTTTCTGTTGATCACAAGATCTAACTGGTTTAAGCTGAGACAGTCTTCAGCCAGTCTTGCAATGCTTCCTTAAAGAGAGGTTCCCTGGGTGGTTATATCCATATTCACATTAATAGGGCTAAGTGTCATTGACTGGTGTACACAGCCAAAGAGTTTCTAGAGAGGATCTGTTGGCTTTTTGTTTTGCTTTCTTTTATAAAAAGTTCTGCTCAGAAAAATCAATATAACCGAAAAAAAGCAACCTATCAACATTTTCCAGTACATATAGCAGAGATTCCATTTGCTTTACCTAACACACATGAAAAATGTGTACTAAGATCAGATGAACTACTTGCATTCATTGAACTCTGCCAGGAATTTCATATATTTTGTTAACTGCAATATTCCAGTACTTGAAGGGAGCATATGCACAGGAGGGGGAATGGTTGTTTACGAGGGTGGACAGTGATAGGACAAGGGGGAATGGTCTTAAACTGAGGCAGGGGAGGTTTAGGTTGGATATGAGGAAGTTTTTCACATAGAGGGTTGTGAGGCACTGGCACAGGTTGCCCAAGGAGGCTGTGGATGCCCCATCCCTGGAGGCATTCAAGGCCAGGCTGGATGTGGCTTTGGGCAGCTGGTTGGTGACCTGCACACAGCAGGGGGTTGGGACTAGATGGTCATCGTGGTCCTTTGCAACCCGGGCTATTCTATGATTCTGTGATTCTATGATTCCAGTTCTTTTAGATTAAAAATCTAAAAGAAATATATTAGGACTGCTGGTACTGATCCTCATGCAGGTGCTTTTTAATAAACTAAGAACCACAAAGTTTTATCTACTTTTTTCTGTCAGTGTTCACTTTTTTTTTTTTATAAAACAGTCATATTTCAACTTTGTTGAGTTTTTCCAATCATCCCTGAACCATCTTGTCTGCAATATTAAGACACATCCTTATGTTTGTAGACATCCCTTGCCACCTGGGCATCTGGACAACAGAACAATCATAAGGACTATAAAGGTTGATCAACTCTTCTGCTTTTTCAAAAAATTATGGTTTATGCACAAGTGTGCTCGGGTGAATATATCATGAATGTTATCAGTGGTCACATGAGGCATCAAAATCTGTTGCTCCTTACACAGAAACTTGTATTCAATTGTGACCCAAGCCAATAGATACGATTTCTACAGATATTTGTTACATTGAGGAGGAAAGGCCATATAGTGCAGCCTTACAAATTTTAAGTGGGAGAGAAACTTTGTATGAATGTGCTCATCGTAACCAGAGCTTCAAACACATGCTGTGAGAAACCCATAATAAACACACACAACCTCTCAGCCTTTTACTCCTTGTTCATACACAGATCCTACAACCTATATATCACCTACATCTGGCTCTTTTCTTTCCCCACTTAATTTCTAAGTGCTGTGCATGCTTTACACTATGCTGAAATCTGTTCCAGCCGGTCAGGCTACGCTGCTGCTACAAAGGATGAAAGCAAGGTCAAGCTAATCAAGCCCAAGAGGATAGCAACCCATGTGGCTATTAAAGAAGGTTACAGTAGGCTCAGAGTTGTCAGGAGAGACATACAAACAGCTCCTTACGAGTGTAAATAAGGCAGATTTAAATGTGTTTAATCGTGCGTGCCTGTCTCAAAATCTGGCTCATCGTTCTTCTTTCTATTTCTCACTCAGGGTCACCAGTGCCTGAAAACACTGATATGCCAAGGAAGCCAATTCCCTGTGGGAGCGTGACTGTGCTCCACACACAGAAATTTCCCCTTCTGTCACTTGGCATGGTTCAGTATGTGACTTGCTAATTCAAAATATAAACAGAGAGGAACTAGGGCCAATAGTTGAAGAGCTGCAAGCAGAATTCTCAGCCCTTCCCAGTAAGTGAATGATACCTCCCCTCTGGAACTATCACCCATTTCTCTGTTGGTTTTTTTTTTTAGCTTAACCAGTATTATATCCTTGGAACTTAGGAGGAAATGGGAAAAATGCCATACTCAAACACGTTTCAGGCTGAAAAAGCAAACCGCTCAATGTCTGCAGTGCATGATCCATAATTTAGCAGGCGAGTTTCTCTCATCCTCTAGTTCTTTTGTTCCCATGAATTGCTTATTTCCTTTCTTTCTCTGTATCATTTTCTCTTGTAACTTTGTTGTTCTTTAACACCTTTTAATTATAGTATGAAATACATAAGCATGTATTTAAATACATCTCAGTTCCTGCTGCTCTCATCCTGGTTATAAACGCAATTTAAAAACCTTACTCATATTTATGCACCATTCATCAAGCTTCTGAGAAGGAAAAAACTTTCCTGTATGCCTTCCTTTACAAGTTTTCCTTCATTTCCATGCGTCAGGCCTGCTGCAGCTTTGCAGGCTTTGCCTGAAAATGCATAAGAAAATGAAACATCCATGTTAAACAAATGGAAAATACACTGAGAGTACAGCCAGACATTTTCTGAAAGCCAAACTTAGGACACTGCCTTTCCTTTGGTTCTTTATCTAACCCAGTGAGTGCTGACTCTCTCCCAGGATGGCAGTGAACTTCAGCAGGAGGCAGTAACGATGTCTTAACAGTAACTGCCATAGTAATGGTGTGTCTTCTTTCCCCTCCTGCAGCAGGATGGAGCACCTGGTTCTGCTTTGGAAGGTGAAACCAAGAGGTTTCTTGCTTAGGGACAACACTGTTGTACATGTGGGGATTCTTTACTGGGAATCTTGTGGCATCTTTGCTTGGCATATCCTCAGGAATTGCTTTGATAATTGCTCCACTCTTTTTACACAAGGTGCTCATTTGGTACTTGCCAAACCCTTCCAATGTCCATCTACAATTCATAACACTTTCTTGACACTTATCAGGGAACCAAGTGAGCAGGGAACTAGCTGCAAAAGCTGCTTGCTCCCTGGGCTCCCTCCTTTGTTCAGAGGAGCTCATCTGAACTTTTATTACAAAAAATACTCAAGAATTAAGATAAAGACTTTAATCCAGTGTGACTTTCCACTCACAGGACTGCACCTGGAGCATGGACCACATGCACACAGTTCTGAAACAATCCAGTGCTGCTCACAGCTCATGTTTCATTTCAGAGCCAAACTTGGAAAGCTCAGACTAGCAGTTGCATTTTAAAGGAGCTGGTTTTGCCTTTTAAGTGTTTGAATTTGAAGTTCAAAGTTAGTATCTCAAATTAAAGAAAGCTGATAATGTATGGCAATACAGAGGGCATGATGCCTTTAATAGAATTATTAAACTGAATTAATGACTACGTTTTTCAATAGGGAGAAAGAAGAGGGAGTAGAAAGGGGCCATGAAAGTTAATATTTCTATCCAAAGAATTAAAAAATCAGTTCTCCTGATTGTTTTCAGTTAATTAATTCTAAGAAAATTCTAAGAAAACAGAATTTATCAGTGATGCTGTAGTAAATGAGCAGCTCTCAGCAGTCTGCCATCCTGAGTCTATCAGCATATATTCAAATTCCCTGCTGGAGCAGGGGTTGGACCAGTAGGACCCAAACTTGTCCACAGCTTAGAAGCTCAAGAATGCTCACTTCAGCAGATATTTTACTTATTTTGGCTAACAAAAGATAGAACAAAATAAAATAAATGACCCAAAGCCGTTCAAGAGTATTAGTACATAAATAGTAATCAAGCTCAGTAACGTGATCAGTGGCTATTGTGAAAGCTGTTATCTGTTAATCACAGTTTAGTCATTCCAGGTTGATTTCAGAGCAACTTCTGTCAGTACCCCAAACCAGCTACATTTCATCTTAGCTGAAGTTATCTTCAAATGGCTTTCTAGATTAGGTTTTGGTAATTCAGGCTACAGATTACAATACATTAACAGCCCATTTAACAGCCATAGCAGATCCTACCTGGAAACTGAGACTGAGGAAATAAAAGCATCAGTTATTGATTCTAAACTTGCCTTCCAGTCAGAATCATTTTACCTTTTTGCCTCTGGTTTGGAGACAGACGAACTAATTGAGATTTCATCATGTCATCAGGAGCAGCCAAATTCAGAAACACCAGGAACACACAGGAGAACAGCAGTGATTTTGCCCACATCCAGTTGGCCGGCAGTGAAGAGGAGCGATCCCATGACTGTGCAGCACAGCCCAAAACAGCATGAAGCATTTCCGTTCCCAATTCTACAAAAAGTCCTTTGTCACTTTGAGAAAGCTCCTTTAACATCCTTTCATATCCCACTGGTCCCCTCTGAAAGCGGCCGCTAGAGAAGGTTTTGTGGGCTGAAGTCAGATTTGGACTAGATTAATGCATGATGCTGAGTCTACATGCATACCAAACTAATTGTGTTGCAAGACAACTAACACTTGGATTTATTCTAGGTAATATTTTATTTGGGATGGGGTGCAGCTCAAATGGTAGAGGAAAAAGGCCAGAAAACTGTCGAGATCATTTAGTCTGGTAAGAGATACAACTCATTTCTCAAAAAAAATGAAGTCCAGTCTTAGTCCAGTGCCACGGTGCCATGTAGGTATAGGCAAGTAGCTGGAATGGTTAATTGTGCCCCTATCCCCCTTTATAAAGTACCTTATTTCCCATTTGACTGATGTTTTGAATGGCATCCCATTTCAGCTCACAGGCATTCATCCTGTCAGACTCTAACTATTGTGATAAGAGCCTTTTATTACCAAATTTTATCTCTGCATAAAGTCATTAGCTGAAGAACAAAGCCTGCAGCACTCACAAGCTGTGGAAGGTGGGATATTCCTCTTTACATCCTTCTGTCTTCATTCTGCGGTTTTCTCCAGCACAGAGATGCAGTACAGGGTCTGGCAGGGGATGAGTTTGTGGTGCTGGGGCTCATACTGTCCATTATCAGATCTGGAGCGCAGGTCCCAAAGCAGCACATGCCCTCAGTTTAGCACAAGGCACCCCATCTTTAGAGGGCCTTCACTCACATACACTTCAGAGAGGCCATGAGCTTCCTAGAATTTGAAATACATAGGATTCAGGCCAGCTCAGGATTTACAACTTGCATGGGTTAAGTAGTGGTATTGGCACTTACTGTATGTTTCCTTATGGAGAAAGCAACAAATGCAAGCGAACTTCAATAGAAATGAAACAATGATAAAAACAAACATTGGGGAAAACATCAGAGTACAAATTTGTACTCCAAACATTTAGACAGTGCTAAATCTAGATGTGTATCAGGCTAAGCTAACCAGAGACAGGAAGAAATTCAGAAATTGTCAGTCCTAGATGAAAAGTGCATTAGGTGGTTTTCTTTTACGTAGCTACTTCATAAGTGTCCCCTTCACAAAGCACACTTAAAAGCAGGTTCGTGGTGCAGGGGAAGCAGTTAACAGCACCAGCACCATTTCCTTTGCAGTGATTCTTCCAGCAGCGCAGCCGCCCTGTGCAGCACTGGTACAGCTGATGGTGCCCCACACCCTTGCGGTTGCACTGACAGCTTTTTCTGCTCTGTATTACAAAGCCTTCAGAGGCAGCATTGGTTACACCAGAGGATTCATAGTTTTCTGAAAGGGCAACAGCTGCCCGTGCTCCACCTGAGTGCAGCTGAAGAGTTGAGGTCTGCAGCTGAGTGAACACAGCTTTTCTCCCTTACATTATTTAACAATAAAAGGGAGACAGAGGCAATATGTGACTTTAGCCAAGGTACGATTTTTCAGAATAGTTTAGGGCATGTTTTATGTTCTGCAGGGGTTTTCCATGACTTGGGAAAGCCTAAATGTGTACTGAGAAACATCTTCAACCTTCCCATAATAAAGGCCGTGAGTGACTGCAGCTACTTAAGACCTGCCTTGGTTTCTTTAAGGGCACTGTCAGTGGCATTAGTGCATTAAATACAACAACAGTAATCTGCCAGTAACCAAACAGACCTGGCAGAAAAGCACCACGGGTTTGTCAAACTTCAGTGAAATTAAACACTTGTTCTGTCATCTCTGTTCTTTACAAATTACTGTGCAGCCTTCACACATCTCATGCTGTTATCCCAACTGTGCACAGCAGTAAGAGCCTCTGCTGTTTATAAAACACACTCAGGAACACAGCAAGCAAATCGAGTGTTCAGCAGTGGTCAGAAGGCAACAGCCTTCACGTGCCCCACCAGCTCTCACTTCAGCCACCTCTTTCGCATCCATTCCATTGCTCAGGCTCCACAGAACAGTTTGAGTTGGAAAGGACCTTTAAAAGTCATCTAGTCCAGCTCCCACCCAGTGAAGATGAACAGGGACTTGCTGTTTGCATTCCACCCTTTGGCTCTTCAGCAATAGACCGCAAATAAAAACTCATCAGTATTGCTTTACCCTCACCCCCAGCAAAGAGCCTTCATGTAACTTTTCCTTGGGGCCACTTGGGTCACAGCCTGGAGCCCCTGTCTCTGAAGAGGTTTCTCCCTCTTGCATTCTGCCCAACCCACTGCTTCCAAGTCAGATTTATTGCAGCCTGCTCACAGTGTGCAGCAGTCACACAGGCACTGCCCAGACACACTGAGGCCAGACCACGCAGGGACCACCTCATAGTTCCCAAACGGAGTTACCGATCTGTGCCAGAAGACTTTATGATGACTTTTGCTCTGTTGTGACAGATTGGGGATTTCTCAGCCCACAGCCTGCCTGCCTGGCATTATCTCTTCACTCATCTATTTCTGTTCTCGTGTGCTTTACTCCCTCTGGCGCGTTGGCTGCACCTCCAGCCACAGTGCAAGGTGAGCACGTAGCAACACGGCTCAGCAGTCAGTCAGTGACACTCACTGACACTGGGAAGATTTTCTTGGGGAAAGTAAAGATAAATGCCACTGTATATCACTCGTTATAAGCTGGTATTCTATTCATAATGGTTCTCAAGAACCTCCTGCTCATGAAATGCACAATAATGAAACCATCTTGACAAAAAGAGAAGACATATTGTATATACTGAATGCTGCATTTTTCACACACCTAAACTGCACTTGGGTTCTAAGGGCCTGAAGTTTTAATTTTGCTCCTTGAGAACAACTATGTAACATACCTTTAAAAGTGAGGGGGTTTATTTTTAGTCATACTGGAGATAATGGAAAAAACCTCAAATCCTATCTAAAATCTGGGAAAAAATAAGCTATGAATGTCAGAACACCATTTCCTTCCAGAAGATTACCAATGGTTTATTATTCCAAGCGTATATTTAGAATATTCCACTTTCATAGTTGCTTTAATATCAACCACATTAAAACATTTCTGATAGCTGATTGACCGCCTCCATAAGCAAATCCCAAGCTCCCACACCTGTTCCATTACACCGAGTGCTCACAGCATCCTTCCCATGTGTGCACACACACGTGGAGCCTCGGCACGTTTCTCAGGCACACAGACACTGCATGAAGAACACGTGGCCCGAAACGTCAGCGAAACAAAAAAGCACACCCTGCTTTTAGAGCACTCGGTAGTGTCCCTGCAGCAGCCTGGTGATTAAAAATGGAGTTTTAAAACTCTGTGTTTCCTGTTCCTTTGGTGCTGAGCAGCTCTTGTGCCACGAGTTAGAAACCAAACATCAATAACGATTCTCCCTGTTTTCTGCTGTAGGTCACCTACATGAACGTACTTTATTCCCCTACGCTTTGGGCAGACCAACTGAACATTCTGGTTTGCACCCACGTTAGGTAACACTGTCATCTTTCTTCTCTGAGGTTTTGTGGAGGTCTCAGGAACACACAGAGGACAAGAAACACCTGTGTGGTGGCTCAGCTATCCAAGCAGCATGGAAAAGGCGTTAAGAACTCGGGGGAGGGGGGGGGTTTATTTTGCAAACAAAAGGAAAGTTCATTTCCTCTGTTAGCTCTCCAGAGCATTAGGTGCAAAAACACGCCTGGAGCTCGTGAAAGACCTTTACTTATGTCTGAATCTACCAAAATTCTTCATAGAGCCATCTGAAAAACATTTGATTTCTCCTTTACAAAATACTACAGAGCTTTTCTGAACCGTTTCATCAAGAAGGCTGTTAATAAAAAACACACAGACCAACAGAAATTGTGAGCTATAATCAAATCTTTTGTTTGGGTTTTTTGAGTTTGGGTTTTTTTTTCCCCATATATTTGAAGAGTATTGACAGAACAGTCAAAACTGCCTTCTTATTGCAGCAGTAGTTAACTGTCCACATGCTGACTGCTATGTAAATAAATCCAGTGATCAGCAAGTGAGCTTGGTATATTGCACACACCTGCAAGAAACCACAAGTACTTACACTGTATCTCATCTGAATGCAGTCATGGGACATTCCAACAGTTTAGAAAATAAATGGGCACAAATTCATAACTGAAGCATGATGAAGGTTTGCTTTAGAATGTAGGGAACAACAGTGAGGTGAAAACAAACACAAACGTCCTGGATGGCAGCGAATGCAGAAAGGACCAGACACTCATTGCGTGTGCCACTGAGCTGGCTCCTAACAACCCAGGGCTCCTCCGCTCACTGTCTGGCCATCCTGGCAATAGACCACAACACAAATGTTAAAATAATAACACTAATAAAAATAAGTATGGATTCCAGCTTATTTTAGCCTAGATGTTCTAACACAACATCACCATTCATTCCTTGGCATGGGGATGGGATGCCTGTGTGCTCCTACTGCGTTCCTTAATCACCTCAACACTTTATACTCTTTGCAAAGGTTAGGGCAGCAAGTTTGATCTGACTATAAGAATTAATTCCAACAATCATGTAATTATCCTGTTGCTGTAATGACAAATGCCTACACAGAACGACCCGAGATCCCTGTGAGTGCTGTGTTAATTGTTTTGTATCCAGACAGATTCCTCCGACAGTATCTTAAAACAAGTTTAGCGTTGCAAATGCAGCTCTACATCTTCTTGCTGCAAATCTACAGCTACACAAACTTCTGGGAATAAACACTGCAAAGAACTTCCCACTGTTTCTCCTGATCCCTCAATTTACCGGTCCTAAGTCAAGTCCAAGTTCGTTGTTACAGAGAAGCCCTGAGGCTTCCTTCCTCAAGTCCATCCCACAAATTGCTGTTAGAGAACACTGGTTAAGGTGCAGACACTTCCAGGTATCTTACCTGTTACATGTGTGTTCAGTGGGTTTGAATCTGAAGCAGCAAACAGTGGCATGCATTGCACTCCTAGGAGTTCAACTCCACTGATAATTAACAATTCCTGTATTAAAAACATCAAGAAAAGTCAACTGTGGTTCTGCATTTGTGCTTCAGCTTTAGTCTAGTGTACTTCTCAGCATTAATCATGCCAGATTGTTACTACTTAGAATGTAACAATCCTTTGGTGATCTACTGAAATTCTGGTTGGTTTTTGTTTGTTTGTTGTAACATTTATTAAATATTTAACCTCCTCAAATGATTTAAATTAGCACACAGAACCGTCTCGAATTCCTCCTAGCATTTCTTACCACCAGTTCTGACTTCCTATGGCAAAAGGCTGTTCCAAAATCACCCTTATAGGATTTTTAGCAGCATCAAATCTTTATTCCAAACATGAGAGAGTAAGATTGATATTGATCTGAAAACTTAATGCATTCCCATAAGACGACTGGTATCACCACGCTCACTTTCTTCTTTTTCCATGTCCCAGGAAACCCAGTGGTGCCTGCATGGTAGAGGCCGCAGTACTGGCTCGACCTGTGGCTCTCCTCACTGGCACAAGTTAAGGAAGAAAACCCAACCCTTGTGAGCAGACAGCTTCTGCCTCTCCTGCACGCTTCACTGCTGAATTGTTCATCCCACAGACAAACAGGAACTGGCTTTTATGCTTGAAGGGTGTTTATATTTTGCATAATTTAGTGAAGGCCCTATCCTGCTTCCATCAAGCTCAAAAGCAAAAGCAAGCTGTTACACTTGTGCCAAAGGGAGCCAAGGAGCCTCACAGACAGCCCTGACCAAAGGGCACGGGGGTCTGCCTGCCTGTCTTCATCCATTCATCAGTGTAGTAAGTAGCAGCCCCTCAGCCTACACCATGCTAAGAGAGGAAAGGGACAGGATTCGCCCCACTCCAGAAACAGATATCAAAGCACTCCTACCTCTGCTCACCTGCCCTCACCATTACCAACTTTATTTACATTGGTCAAATAACTCCTGCTGCTCCCCCAAAGCAGGGGGAAATCCTACACCCAACTGAAATAGATTGGAGATTCACGATCATTGAGGTCCCTTCCAACCCCAGCCATTCAGTGATTCTGTGAAATGCCCCACTTGGAATGGGATCCATCTCTGAAGGTAGGCAGAGGGAGCAGCCCCAGGCACAGAGGGCAGCATGCACTGCTGGATTTAACCTGCAGAGAAAGGAAAAGAAACAAAGGAGAAGATTAGGAAAGCTCTGACTGTGAGTAAATCCGTTTTCTTTCATGTGTTCACTAATATTCTCCTGCTGCTCCGAAATATGATGCTCTAGGTTTATTCTCATCTCTGAATAAAGATGGACGCTTTTCTGTGCTCAAGTAATCTATCTGGATTTTTAATTTTCATTTACTGGAAAAAAAATCTGATACTGAATTAGATAAGAATTAGAGCTTCCCTTGGGGTGAAGCAGTTAACACAATGAAGATTTGTGACTGCCTGCAACCTGCAGTTGCAATTATATGAGTACCATACAGGTCAGATATGTTTCTTAACAACACCGAGGGCAACTCAGAGACTTCCAAACTAAGCTAACAGGTGGAATACAGTCAGCCAAGTCAACCTGCCTCACTTCAGGTCTGTTATTTCTTTAGTTCCATATTATATCCGTTCTCTGTGGTCTATGAAAATTTCAGTTTACAAAAGCACACAGCATTAATTAGTTGTTAACATGTGGTTTCCACCCATGTTTATTTTATGGATATTAATCTGAAATTAAGTCAACATGAAACTAAAAAGCATGCAGCATTTTCAGGGGCAACACAAGCCTGAGTCTCCTGACAGCTGAGGAAAATGCAAACAGCCGTGGGACTGGGAAAAAGTTGTGTGCAAAAACCAATGTTGGGGAAGGCATGGCTGGAGCTGGTAATTTGTTATGGATCAGTTTATTGCGGAAACAACAGATACAGGCTGCACATTTCAAACACTGCTACCAGAACTCCCACCTCTGCTGCTTTGCTTGGCAAAACATACATAGGGTCTCTCCCAAAAGACACTTTAAAGAAAGAGGAGGCAACCAAAAGCTCCCTCACTGTGCATTTCCATAAAGCACACCCACCATTTACTCAAGAAATGAAGTGCTGGCCAACAAGTTCATTCCACTGAGCATGCTGAGGTACAAGAAGAGTAAAGGAACTCAGCCCAATGGCCTGACCTGGTCAGAGGGCTCTGAACCTTTTGGCCCCACTCAGTCACAAAATTCAGTTCCACTGTCCCAAGCGATGACTCTGTGACCTGGGAGGACAAAAGAGCTGAAAGGGCACAAGGTGCAGATGTGTCCCAGCCACTGTCTGAGCTGTCTCAAAATTGCATGAAGTCATTTAAAAAGCAACAGATGCCTTTTTTGATCTTCCGTTTATAAGGATTTTGGGTGCAATTTGAATTTAACACCATTTTTAAAAGAAGTTTAAAGTGACTTTTAAATCGAACCAGCAGGGACAGAAACAAGTGAATCACAATGAAGTGACCAACAGGCAGACCCAGCACTACTGCAGATGCACAGCTGTGGCAGAAAGGCATCAGTTTGTAAAACACACCACGTGGAACTCTGGTACTTGTTTGAATGGGATTAGTTCCAGAGATGATGAGGGCATCTTTGGCACAGCCACAACCACAACTTGAGGTACCCTCTGTAGTCCAGAAACAGTTCTTAAACTCTGAGCTGAACCTCTAAACCTGACATTCTTGCTTTGAAAGAATTACCAATCTGTGCTGATGTGGAAAACTTCTGAATTCTTTTGCCAGCTGTTCTATAACATCACAATCCTTAAATACACTTTTGCTGCTTCCAGTTGTAGCTCACATATGTTAAGTACAGTGTAATTACCAACCAATATTTGACTGCAATGGTACTCCAAGGGCTGGAGGTAATTGTGTGTGCAGAGCCAGATGCACAGATTGGAGTCTGCCAGTGGAGCAGAATAAGCATAAAAACTCAAGTGTTTCAGAACAAAGCAATTTTTGCAGCACTTAATTGCCGTTTGATGGAACACTAAAACAATGCAATCATCGAGAGATGCCTGCACATAAGTGGCTTCTCTGTGAAGAGCCATTCCTTAAAAGACACACACTAACTTCTAAGAGGTTTTCCTAAAGCCTTCTCACGTTGGCCTGTTATTCAGTAACCACATTTTCAGAAGACTGGTTTTGTTTTTTAACATCCCCCCTTGAGTGTCTGATAGCAGCTTATTTCAAATGCAGGACTGGAGGACTCCAAGCACAACTGCTGTCATCACATCTATTAATTTCTTTAACTCCCTGACCATCTCCCAGCTTCCAGGTGCACCCGCTGAGATGCTCCTACCAGCAAAGAACAAAGCTGCCTGGAAGATTCCTGGGTGTTTTCACAAAGCAAACACACCCTAAGTAACACCAGTTCCAACACTTCTCATCCAGTCAAAAAATCAGCTGTGCTGAGTAGTGCATTCCCATCTGGTTGAATACATTCATATCTTCACTATAAAAATATGATTCAATCAAATGCTGCTTTACAAGCTTGTTATAAACCAGCAATATGACAATGCAAAAAGTACTTATTTTCTGTTTCATTAAGAAGTAATTCCCTCAAGCATTAGGAAGCAACGTAAAATCTTTTAATATACTGAGCAATTTCATTAAGTTCTCTGTAAAGAAAGAAAAACACAGCTTGAAATACAAAAGCTTTTAAAACATGACAGGGAATTTCACTGGGAAAGTAACAAATTATGCAAGTCACAAGCCTATATTATGCATTAAAATGTTGGCTGAGACACTAAACAACCATAAAAAGTATTTCTGTAAGAACTGATTGAAGATGTATTCTTCATGAACCAGTGAGCAAACATTTACTCTTCTCAGATTAATATTAGCAACTTAAAAAAAAAAAAAGCATTCCTCTGATGACTGATGTAAGTTCCCAAACAGAATTCATGTATTGCAGTTCTTTCCACAGAACACCTCCAAGTAAAGCAGCAGCCAAGTACTGCCTGGAAGGATGAAACAAACAGAAAAACCTCTGCAAAGCAGGCTCCCATTCCCAGAATTTTATTTTTTCCTGCTTTTGAGGGAACTGTTGTGAACTCTCACTCTCTTCTGCACAGAAGAAGCAATCTTCAGGGACACCTTCTTTGCCAGGCAGCGTTCCACAGCTCCGGGCCTCCACAACAACAGCTGGGCATCCTCTCCTCCTGTCAACAGCGACTCCTCTGCCAGGTTCCAGCAGAAAGAGCGAACGGTGGCAGAGTGCCCCCCTGGAAGGGTACCCACCAGGCTCAGCCCAGCAGCACTGCAGCTTATCAGGTGAACGTCTCCTGTTGCCGTTCCTCCGATCAGAAAGAGTCTGTCTGCCTTTTCGTGGTACATCCCTCCTACCAGGTAATTTAAGCTGCCATTTTCAATGCAGACTGAGTCTCTGGCGTCCAGAACACGCAACAGCATTATTGGTTCTTCAGTATCTAACTGAGCAAGGTCCCACCAACAAAATCCCTCATCGTGGGTCGTGCAGTAGATCTGTTCATAATCTTTCCCAGACCAGCCAATAAAACTTACTGATGAATCTGAATTACAGGTTGATATCAAAGCATCATCTTCGTTGTCCTTGTTAATGTCAAACACATTCACCAAGCCATCAGTCGACCCAGAAACGACCAAACTGGGTTTGACAGGATGAAAACAAATCTTAGTGACATCATCATTGTGACTTTCAGAGTACACTCCCAAAGGTTCCCTCATTGTGCTGGCACAGTCCGTGCTGCCTCTCGCATCCCAGAACACCAGGAATGTATCCGTTTCTACTTTCTCTGTTCCAGCACAAATCATGAGATCACTGCAATTGAGATCAAAACTGATGAACACGTTGGAAGGATAGCCACTGAATACCTGCGCAGCTTTCTGAGTTGCTAAACGAATATCCCAACATTTTACTGTACCATCACTGCACGCAGAGAACACCAAGCTGTCACACGCATGTGCAAATCTGACGCCGTTAAGTGTCCCAGGACAGCTACTGTACTCCCGCAGGAAGTTCAGTGTTTCTCTGTTATAGACCCTAATGGATTTATTGGAACATGAAACTGCCACAAAGCAACTGCTTTCAGACTGAGCAGATCCGGAGATGTCTATATCCAGCAGGTAAGCAGGCTCCTCACTTAGCACAGAGCGCTTTGCTATGCGCAGGCAGGCAAACTGCTCCTCGATCTTCTCAACTGCAGACATCTCAAACGCTGCTCTTGAAGCTATCGGGAGTCTGCAGTAAATAAAATATGAGGTTTAATGATAAAAGTCTGAAATAACATTAGCTTTACATACATAGGTATGAAAAGGTTTCCTGCACAGAGCTTATGCATGAAATCAAAGGTCAGTCATCCTGAAGTCCTGCCTACCATTTTATTTACAGAAACAGAGAACCACCCAGAGCTTCCCCCAGCAAAGGAGTTCAATCTCCTCTGATCGTAAGCACTGCATCACATAATCCCCTCAGAGGATTAAATAGGCTGCTTGTGAATGCTGTGAAAGTCGTTTAGCTACATTTGCTTTGTTGTTTTGTTGTTGCTGGTTTTGTCTCTCTTGTGAGTAAATATTAAAGCAACATCCTCTGCAAGTGGAAGCGCACAGAAGGCATGGTTCCTACCTGAGGAGTAACTTCTGCTCTAAAAGGCTGCTTGCACTCACAGCCCACAAACAGTTGTATCACTGCAGCTGCAGGAGACTTCTTAGCCCAACTTCTGCATAGGCAGAGAACAAGGCAAAAAATGGAGTAGAACTACAGCCTGAAAGAGACAAATGAGATACCTTTTGCAGCTATTCAGGTGCTCACTGACACATGCAAGCACCCATTCAGCACACCACAGGCTACCTAAACAGGCACGAGGACAGCACCACAATTTGGGAGAACTAAGCATTTTCAACAGTTCTCCCAAGAACCAAGGCCTTTCCCGAGGCTCTTAAATAAAAACATAGCCCTGGCTCTTATTGCAACTGGGAAAAAAAAGCCTTTCCTTCCAAGGCAATTTTTCTCTGGCATTATTGAATTATTCTAGAAAAACAGTATTTCAATGTGGATATTTAAATTTAAAGGAGATGTTTACCATCAAAATCAACAGGTGGTTTTGGTCAGTCCATGAACTTGGATCACTTTTCAACAAATAAAAGGTAGTTGGGATATAGAAAGGAAGCATAATCATCCACACAGACGATTTCTCTCTCACTTACAGGCTCAATTAGACTTCTCTTCTGTGTTATAAAATGAATTTCGGGGGAATCACAGCAGTTCCCATGGGGGTCAGCTCTCCTCACTCCAATGAGACTTGAGCTACAAGATATGGTTTAGTGGCTTGTGGTTGCAAGGGCAGTGGGAGGACAGTTGCACTCGATGATCTTGTAGGTCCCTTCCAACCTTGTGATTCTATTATGGATGTTTCAGTTAAGGCAGAGAAGGGTAAAGCAATACTCCAAAAATGGACTTATTTCCTTACAAAGTAGACCAGCGCCCGATGCCAGTGGTCACACACATGGAAGGATTCTTTCTGGAAAAATCCAAATAGAAACCAAAGAGAAATCAGGCAGGCCCAAAATGCAGGAAAATACCATCATGTCTTCCCAGCTGTCCCATCAATTTTTTTTCTCCTAATTCCTCAGGCTGGATTTTGGGAAGGGGATGAAATGAGCAAAGTGCTGCGTACTCATTGGCTTTGGCTCATTATTTTAATGTCCCACAGGAGGCCAGCAACAAAAGAAAAGTTGCTATGACAAAACTGCATTCTGCTTGTTTTTAACATGGTGTTGTTGGTAGTTTCAAGGCCTTGCCTTCCCTGCTCTGTTTGGTACATACAGATACACAACGCACCATGTGATAAACGAGCAAATTCTTAACAAACAGCTTAAGCAGACCCACTCACACAAGCTTAATTCTCAAATCACAAATAATCTAAGCCATCCGACCTGGTAATATCCTGACAAAAGGTCCCAGGTTAATCATTTACATCAAAGCAACCTTTCAGAACACATCTACAAGTCATTTTTGCCATCAAATGCAGACATCCTGTGGAAACTCCTTTCCCCTCCAAAAAGAAGAATTTCAACATGTTTTCTGGCACTGTGTACAGCCCTACCCTACCCACAGAGCCTGCTTTCTTACATACTCAAACGGGACAAGACTTCAGCAGAACCAATATAAAAGCAGACAGCTGTTGAACGCTGCTTGCTCAACTGTGCACAAGGCTAAGGCCCAATTGTAACCAGGTTTGTTGAACTTTATTTCTGAAAAATCACCAGCTGTGAAAAGGTAGAGACTGCAAAAAACACACTTCATTCAGATTTAATAATACTCTCAGGGAAGTAAAAGGAGCCCAAGGTAGTGCCTCAGCTTTCACTCCCAAATGATACAAGTGAAGCTGTTTTACACTAGCAGAAAACACCGCATATTTTCCAGATAGATGTGTAACATACATCATCAGGAAGGTGCAGCCTTCCCTTCTACTTCCCAGCAGCAGTTAAGGAGCTGCAATACCACATTTGATGGCAGCAGGGTTTTTTGCTAAAAACTCAGTAAAATGTCTGTCCCAGTAAGACGGTCTTCAGGCTATTATGAAATTGGGATTGAAGGTTATATAAACAATTTGTGCTCCAGCGTCAGGGTGTAGCTGCCAGCCCTTCCTTTTCAGGAGGGGAAGTCACTGTTGTACTTTGATGGGAAAGTTTAAATGGCAGGAATAGGATCTGTGTTAAATTTATGGGACAAATAGGAAACAATGGTCTTCCAAACACAATAGAAGATCACTAAGCATTGGACCGCTGCCACCTCGAAAGCACATGTCGCTCTGCACTGCACAAGTGAAGCGCTTTTGGTTGGGCACTCCTCAACTTTGACAACCCAGGTATCCACTTCGTTACGGCCACCAGGCACCCAGTGCCAAGTAAGCTGCTTGGAATGCTTTGGTCATGGCACAGGAGCCACTCACAGCAATCAGTGCAGAGACCTGCCTGTGAGAACCTGACACCAACCCGGCGGGGGGAAGGGAGCTTGCTCTAGAACTGCCTCTGAAGAAGTGACAGAGATCCCTTGGGAAGAGAAGAGGGCCTGGCTGCTGCTACCTCTTTTCTTTAGAATATGCAGTTGTTAGTAGAACTCAGGATCTTCCTCTGTTCCAGCTCACAGTAGCCCAAGGTTTGGATCTGTGAATGCAGTCTCAACACTGGTCTAGTATTGAATGTGGAGGTTGGCCCTACCTGTGGCAGGGAGGTTGGAGCTTTGATGATCCTTGAGGTCCCTTCCAACCCGAGCCATTCTCAGATTCACTCTATGAACACAGACAAAACACAGGTGATGTCAGCATGATAGGAAACACCACGGCCTGGATTACACAGAAGTATCTGGCCCAAGTGTCTGCCTAACGCCTCTCATTTTCATCTTCAGCGACTGCCACTCTTTGCATGGAGCTGCATCTCCCACCACCATCCTCATCAAGGTGAAGCCACCTGTTACAAATCAGCCCTACTTTACGTGATCCTCCAACCTACAGCTGCTTGATCTCTGCTCTGCATTTACAGTTCTCTGTAACCTCGGAGCATCTCTTTGATACCGCAGCACACCATTAATGGTAAGCTTCTCTGCATCTTGAGAACTCAAAATAAATACAGTCAACTGAAACAGCCTATAATATTTTGACCTCCAGGATGCCCTACAAAGTTCTGTTAAAAAGAAATAAGCTTGGTTTTTAGAACAGAAGGCACGAAGGGGCAGGAATGCCAAAGAGGAAGAAGTTTGCAGATGCTGTGGTTATGCATTTCTCCCTGGTGGAGCATGGAAACAAACATACAGCAAGACAAGACACAAGCAGTCACAGGTGCCCAAAGCAGCCTTCCATTGGCAGAGAAAGGAAAGGTAAGCACCTACGAGCACAAACTAAACGTTTCATTTTGCCTGAGCATATACTGCTGTGCTCTTTGTGTATTACTCCAAACCTCACAGCCTAAACTCAAGCCAGCAGGCTCGTGAGTCCTCTCCATTGCAGAAAGCTTCTCAAAAAATAAAGCAGCAATTCCTAAGTTATTCCTTCTCATTGTGCACATTTGCCAAATCACATAGTTCTCAATTCCAAAAGGGAACATTAGCTCTGCAACATACAGCAAAGTAAAATCACCTGTGAAAAAATACCGCAGAAAATGTGGCAGAAATGGATCTTTGCCTCAAAGACTCGGTCAGTGCCTGAGAGGAACTTGTAAGAGAAGAGAAACGAGTAATAAAAAAAGAAAACGACCTGCAGATTTGGCAATCTTCTCTGCAAAGGTCAAATACCAGAAATAGCAAGGGATCTGAACAGCAGTAGATGAAATCTTGCGCTGTTCTACTACAAACAAAGCGAACAGACCCTCCCTTTATTTTCATGACTATCAACAGTTCAAGAACAAGTTAAGAATAAACCTGAAGCTCTGGATAGTGGAAAGCAATCCACGCATGCAACATCGTGTGCTCGGCATTTTAAAACAAAAACAAAAGCAGTGTTGGTTGAGGAAAGCACATCAGTGCTGCACTTCACTAATGCAAAATGCCTTTGGAGACCTCTCCTCAATGGCACCACTTCACAACAGAAGATGGATCAGCCAAATGATCTAAGAATGGAGGTGAAGCACAGCAATCCCATCAGGCACGCAGAATTCCTACAGGATATGCACTGCTGTACTTGGTTTTGTTATTGTACCGAAGCAGTAAGATGAGGTGTTTTTCCAGCATTCCCATAAAGGCATTTTTAGGGCAAAGAGGACAGCATCTCACCAAGCACACAGGAAGGGAATATTGTGCACCAGAGGCTAAGCTGAAGTGCAGAGATGAGATGTAAACTGCCAAGAGAATTATTTCATGCTTTTAAATCGCTACGTCTTGTTTCCAAACAAAGCACAGCAAGAATAAAGCTCCTCGTCTCCTCAATTTGGCATCTGTAGCACAGAGAAAAATACATTGAGAAAGCAGACGGGAGGAAAAAAAGATAACAGCACTGCCACAACAAATTCTGCAAAGAGAACAAAACCAAGCAAACAGAGATAATAAACTTTCTGCATTCCACTAAATGAATTTAATCCTACCAGCACGGAAATGGCCTTAGCAGCACTGATTAGAGGAAAAAGTACGAATCAAGGAGAGAACAAAGGGAAGCAGTCACAGGAGGTTGTACGTAATTGTGATAATGCTCACATTATTAATTTTAGAATCACAGAATCATAGAATGGCCTGGGCTGAAAAGGCCCACAGTGCTCATCCAGTTCCAACCCCCTGCTGTGTGCAGGTCGCCAACCAGCAGCCCAGGCTGCCCAGAGCCACATCCAGCCTGGCCTTGAATGCCTGCAGGGATGGGGCATCCACAGCCTCCTTGGGCAACCTGTTCCAGTGCCTCACCACCCTCTGTGTGAAAAAATTCCTCCTAACATCGAACCTAAACCTCCCCTGTCCCAATTTAAAATCATTTCCCTTGTCCTATCACTATCTACCCCTGCAAACAGGGTTCCCCTCCTGTTTATATACGCTCCCTTCAAGTACTGGAAGGCCACAATGAGGTCTCCCCACAGCCTTCTCTTCTCCAAGCTAAACAAGCCCAGTTTCCTCAACCCTTCATCACAGGAGAGGTGCTCCAGCCCTCTGCTCATCTCAGTGCCCTCCTCTGGACCCGCTCCAAGAGCTCCACATCCTTGGACTGGGGGCCCCAGGCTTGGACGCAGCGCTGCAGATGGGGCCTCACAAGAGCCAAGTAGAGGTGGACAATCGGCTCCCTCTCTCTGCTGGCCACCCCTTTTTAATTGCAGCCCAGAACACAGTTGACCTTCTGGGCTGCAGACACGCACTGCTGGCTCTTAGCTTCAAATCTAAATCAAAATTATTAAAATACGATGCTCAGATAGCTGAGCTTCCTTCTCCAGAACAAGTTTCAAACCTTCTTTCAAATGGATCGGAGGGCTTTCTTGTTTCTAATCTCTGCTCATCCGCTGCCACATACACGACAGACCTACGAATTGAGGGGCAGCCACTAAGTCCTCTGCCACCTAAATCCAACTCAGACATGAAAGCAGGGTGTGACTGAGCACTGATTGCCGAAGGAGGTTTCCCAGCAGTGACCTCACCAGGTTGACGCTGTAATGACACCCACGTGCTGGGGTGGTCCAGCATAAAAGACAAGGATACGGGGCTTTGCTCTTAGGGCTGCTCCTAAAAGAAGATGAGAGAACCTGCAGCAGACACATTCCTACCTCATAAAGACAGGAGATTGCGCAGGAAAAGTCAAATTAGAGACAGAGATAAATTAGATTGGAGAATGGCTGCTGGGAAACCGGTCCTAGCAAGGCCCTCAACTTCCAAGAGTGCCTGCAAAGCCACCACAGCCAGCCAGCCTGCCTCAAACCATGAGAATCCAAGTCTCAGCCTTCTGCATTTGTGCTTATCTCACACCACAGAAGAATCCTTTCCTTTCTCTTATGAGCACTTCCCATTGCAGACATCACATCAGCCTCGATTTTTGTAGCCGCAAATGTAGAACAGGAGAGAAAGAACTAATTAGTCTCTCAATTACACAGGACCAGCAGCAGCTGGAAATCAGATGTGTAGGGTACAATACACTACTGGGTGCAGTATTAACTCTGCCTCCATTCACACTTCCACAATGCAGTCGTTATCAGCTACAAGCTGATATCAAAGCTCTCTCTGAACCTGCCTCCTCACTAACAGCATTTTCTTTTGTTAGGAGAATCAGCAAGGTGTTCAGCTTGGCACTAGGGCTGAGATGGCCTGCACACTGATAAGGAAGACAGAATTGAAGCTATTTATCCGAATGGGAGGCTGGACTTGAACCAGATGTTGGCCTGCAAACACTGTCTAGCCTGATGATGGCCAAGCAGCCAGGAAGCTGCAACATTTACTCTTTAGTTTCTGAATGTGTGTGCTACTGGACCAAATGCAAAAGGCACAGGAACACTGCAATCCGTGACCACAAAGTGCTTCAAGGTCCCTTCAAGCCTGGGATCACAATGCAAGACTCGTAACAGCAGTGACCTGCAGTGCCATTTTAAATCAAAAGAAAGCACCACACAGGCAGGCAACCCCAGGATCCAGCCTACAGAGGAAGGCAAAGAGGAAGAATTACTTACACAGCTGCATGAATAATTCAGTGGCTCTGAAATAAGAGTATTTATTTCCTTTGAATTACACACTGCTACTCGGTATCAACATCCTCATATTAAAAAAAAAAAAATGGAAATGTGGAGACTCTTCCCACAGACTGGTAAATTTTGCTGAAATTCTTCCAAGGAATTTATTTCTACATCACAGAGGAAGCCTGGGAAACTTCAGCCTAAACTTAGCAGCAATCAGAATAAAAGGATACAAAGACACTTAGCTACAGCAGGAAAAATAGCTCCTGCCATCACACACTGGTGCCAAATTACCTATAATGAGATGAAATGTTTTATTTACCAGGAGATTTCAGAAGTTCTTTCACAACAGTAATTTCACTTAAGCACCCTCATTCTTCAAAACAAGGCTATTATGTTTTCAGGACGCTTTTCTTAAAAACCCAAGCCTAACTCAGTACTGCAGTTCACATCTCCACTAGGAGTGCTGCTGGGAAGCTGATAAGACGTTCTCAGCTAAGCCCAGACGTGGCAGCTCTACTTTCCAAAGAACATTCCTGTGCCTGACCACTTCTAACTGCACCAACATCCCCAGTTCCAGACGTGTTACGCAAGGAAAACAACTGCAAAACCCAAGTGGAGGAAAGGGCATTGCTGTCTTCCCCTCATTTGCTTCCCCAGGAATGTGCAAGTTCCCAAGGTGTCCCCACCAATCACACCCTGCAACATCCCCGTTTGATATTTAGCTAATGCAGAACATCACCACATCAACATGATTTGTCAAAGCCTCTCCAGTATCAAAGCAACAGTGGAAACTGGAGATCCCTGTGTGCCCATGACAGTCCACAGACGATTGGTTTCCAAAACACACTCTTTGTGCACAACAGCTGGCAGGCTCTGGTGAACCATTACCATGCCCTAAGCTCGCTTTTCAGTGCTTCACAGCAGACAAAAGGAAAAAGCAGCCATCTAAGCGACAGCAGTAGGATGAAAAGGCTGAAATAAAAGTTTTTAGAGCTATGTCCACTCGATCCTGTTGAAGGGAATTTACCTTTCAGCTTCCATACAAGATAGTGAGGCACCAAGTCTGCACGCACTGTAGACACATGAGGCATTCTCTTCAGCTCTTTGTTTTCAAGGGCCTTTCAGCAGTGCTCA